GGACCGGGCCGGACCGTCCAGGACCGTCCAGGACCCAACAAGGATCTCTCCCCGGATCAGTCCGGCAGCGTCCGGCCCGGTCCGGGAGCTTGGTGTGACTTTAGCTTTATGTGTTATGTGGATTAAACATTTAACCGTAAACCGACTTTCTTCTATGGAAAGGACTTAGCCGGTGTTTCTCATCTCCTAAGCCAGATGTATGACTTGCATCATTATGGCAAACACACTCGCAGAAATCATTATAATATTTGTTAAAGATCAATAAGCCTAATTATCAAAAAGATCTTACAATATCATCCCAGTTATAAACGATATCTACAATATAACGGTAGAACAGTAGCGTAGCAACGTGAAGAACAGTACTGATGTCTACTGTGAATCGATCCCCAATAACGCAGACCCTATTAAAAATACATGAAGTCAATGTTAGAGGGTCTAGGGTCAAAGTCTGGGTTATTTAAAGGCTTCGCTGTTAGGAGCGTGTGTTCAGTTCATAGGTAATTCAGTGATTAGTCATCCCCTGTTATTCTGGAGAATGGTGCCGAGAGTAGCTTCAGTAGCCTTAATTACAAGTTATATTTGCTCATCTTCTAACCCTACATGTTAGCACGAGAATAGGTTATAATACTCTGCTAGCTTTAAATCTAGCGTTACCCGCTCTATCTCTAGACTAGCTTCTAGCAATAGTCTAGGTGCACCATGAAATCTAAACGTGTTACAAATAAGGATTATACCAGAAGTAGATAATAGGGAATTCTGAGTATATCAAGCGTAGACAATAGATCGATATAACGGAGAAGGGGGAACACCGACTCTAGTTAAAATCTACCTAATTATCTCGCCGGAGCTACATAAAGTTGAATATTGCCGATTAAAACATATTACTCATATAACCCGTCTTTCATCTCTATAATAACATCAATCTCTCTATATAAACATAATTTCTCGGTTGAGGTATTCGTCGTAATCTTTCTCAGTTTCACCTTTATTTTTGTTTTTCGATGGGAGAACAGACCTTGTATGTCGTACCTAGCAATTTGGTCTCGATATTATGTCGTACTAGGTTCTCTAATATTTATGCTAATTGGTTTATATAGATTATTATTGTTTTATTTATTTTTCTAGTAGTAGAGTTCTATATACCAATAGGTATATAGGCTCGTTGGATATATACAAAATAGACTATCTTAGCAGGTCACTATGGCTGAGAGGGTCTATGTCCCCCAGGGTACTGCCGGAACGTACCCTGGGTACGGTCCGGTATACCGGAACGTACCCTGGTACCAGAGCATATAAAAATTATAAATGAACGTGATTTATATGCTCTGGCGAAATCAAAACGAAATCAAATCAAATTCAAAATCAAAAATCAAAATCAAAATCAAAATCCAATTCAAAATCAAGAACGAAATCAAATCGAAATCAAAATCAAAATCAAATTCAAATCAAAACGAAAATCAAACTCGAGAATCAAATCAAATCAAAATCAAAAGTCAAAATCAGTATCAAACTCAAATCAAAATTACCATTAAAAAATCAAAACGAAATCAAATCAAATCTAAAAATCAAAAAAATCAAATTCAAAATTCAAAACGAAATCAAATCAAAATCAAAATCAAAATCAAAATCAAAAATCAACAATCAAAATCAAAACGAAATCAAAATCAAATCAAAATCAAAATCAAAAATCGAAATACAAATATCGAAAAAGATCCAAAAGTACGAGTTGAAAGTGATTACGCGTTGGCCTAGAGCTCGCCCAAGTGAAATCAGTTTTCACGCGTGGCCGAGAGCTGGCCAAAGGTGAATCATTTTCGGCGATTGCGCCGAGCCGCTGCCAATATAGACTGGTACCGGTACGCGCGAGACCGGTTCACTCCCCGGGCATATGGATTCCTTTCGCTACACCTGAATGTAGGTGCGGCCCGTAGTGGAAGTGACTATACGTACGGGCGCCGTGTGCCGTACGTCAATATGGCTAGAATGACGGAAGGGGCAAGGAGACGCTGTGGAGAAGAGCGAAGGGGAGAAGGAGAAGGT